CAAGTCATTACCCCGAGGTCATAACACAATGGACAATTAAAAAAGTTGATGATGCTCGCTCCTACCCTCGACGCCTTTGACGTCGGCATAGTCGAGGATATCGTCCCCAAGTATGTCGTCCATGCTATACGCTAGAGGTTCGAGCTCGACCAAACGCTGCCTATCTCTCTCTAACACCTCAAAATAAGCCTGGCCCTCGTTAAAACGCTCGGTGCTCGGTACAACCCATCGAGGACCAAATGGGTGATCGGCATCTTGAGGTTTAATAAAGAAATATTTGGACTTCCACCCTTTCAACGAGCTCGGCATTTTTGGAACCTTGAACTCCCCTCGGGAGGAAAAGTACACAAAACAATTAAAGCCCGGGAGCGATTTCAACTCGAACGTCATCCTGAGCAAATCTAACCTCGGGACAATTGACAAGTACCTACAAGCTACGAAAAAATAGACGAGCATCCTCCACCCGTTAGGAACTAATTGCCCTGGACACATGTCATGCTCAGTTAGAAACTCGAGGAAGAAGGGGTGAAGAGGCCACCTAAGTCCCCCCTTTAGGGCCTCCCTATAAACAGCTATCTCCCCCTCCCGAGCACTCACTACGCTGTCCTCGGGATCAGGACGCCGCACTTCGCACAAAGGCATCAGTCCAAATTCACGAGCTACACCTATGACCTCGTGCTCTTTGTATCTACAGCAAAGCTCAGGATAGGAAAGAGCGGGGAAACTTCCTACAGGTATGGCAAATGGTACTAGGGTATGGCCTTCCTCGTGCAAGGAGGCCGAGGCTGAGGAACTACTACTAGCAGACATACTTGAAAAGTAAAAACTTAAATAAACTAGAGGGCAAGAGCTCTTACCTTAAGTCCTAACCCGAGGAGGTCCGAGGAATGGTTGAAGGGTGAAAAGCGCCAAATGAAGTGGGGCATAGGGGTATTTATAGGAGCTTAGGAATACCAAAAGACTTTCAATCCTGGCCCTCCACGTGGCAACCATCCACCATGTGAAATGACTAGCACCAAAATCGAGGCCACGTGGCACACAAGCGTGCACCTAGCTTGCCCCTCTTTCATTCGTCGTCTAGTCCCAACCGATGATCAACTTCCCGACCATCGTCTTCGCAGCTCCCTATCCGAACGCCGACCACCTATAAGCAATACCTCCACAATACTTGCTCATCCTTCAGACATGTGCATCCCATCCCCGATCCTCGAGTGCGACGGCCGGACATGGATGCACGGGGGCCACTGATCACACCACTTTCATAGGCCGACCCGAGCAGTTAAGCCCGAGGACTCTCTCTTCATTGTACCCCATTTTCGCTCCATCTCCTCGGGCATTTCTCCTCGGGCATGGCGGAACCCGAGGCGCACGAGCCACCCACGTGAGCGTCCTCTTCTCGACAAGTAATCCTTCGCCACGTGGAAATACCCTATCCAGGTCATGGACAATGAGAAGCCCTGCTTATCACGTGTCGTACCCTAAAAGAATTCTACCAGGAGAGTCCTACCTTCACCCAAACGCCCAAGGCATACCATATGAACTGAACTGTTAACTCCTAATGACACTGGGAGTCTAAGTCTCCTAGGTAGTCCAGCATTCTAGTCCTACTATGAATCAACTACTTGCCTCTATAAATACACTTGCATCATTCATTGTTGAGGTACGTTTTCACATACGATTTGAGCATCTAATATTTTCCATATTCGCTCTCTGACTTAGGCATCGGAGGGGCGACGAGGGCACACCTCGACGCCTTTGTTTCAGGGATCGGAAGACCACGTTCGTGTTCATTCTCAGTCGTCAAGCAGAAAGTCAACAGGTACGCTTTTTGGTAGCATCAGTAGGTAAACGAGAAAAAAAGAAAAAAAATTGGAAAAAAGATTCCAATCCAGCGCGGGACGTATAGAAAAAGACGGGATAGAAAAATCCGTCAAAAAGCCAGCTAAGGTGAATTGCAATAATAACACTAGAAACGACCATTGCCAACTAATATCTGGAGAGCGAGGAATTTGAGAAAGAGAGAAGAATTTGAATCTCCGAATTGGATTTCAATCTCTTCTCTAACAACACCGAAAAACTCGTAGATCGGATCTTCTCGAGCCCAATCCGAACCGCCGACGATGCCTTCCCGTAGAAGAACACTCCTCAAGGTCATCATCCTCGGCGACAGCGGGTTAGTCTTCACTCTCCCATAATTTCCACATATGCCTATAAAATCATACATAGTTAATTTTGGTAGCATAGATTAATTTACTAGGTTTTAAAAGCATGCTTTGGATATCTTTGTCTGTTTCACGCGTTCAATTCACACCGATCTAGATTCTACCACTTTATGTTTGTTATCTGTATGCGTACATCTATGCGCTTGGAAATTAATTGGACTGGTGTGTTTGATCTGCAGGGTGGGAAAGACCTCATTGATGAATCAGTATCCTTAATAATTTGTCCACTGTTATATTTTTTCTCTTTATTTTCAGAGGCATGAGGGTAATATGATTAGTAGTGTGGACTTGCTTGAGAACAAATTTGCAATTACTTTTAGGATTTGGTTTTAGTTATTCGTTTTATTGTTGCCTTTAATGATTGATTAAAGATACGTAAATAAGAAGTTCAGTAACCAATACAAGGCTACCATTGGAGCTGATTTTTTGACAAAGGAGGTGCAGTTTGAAGATCGGCTATTCACTTTACAGGTTGGAGTCAAACTCATTTATTTGGTGTAGCAATATCATCTGTAGACAATATTCTGTGATTGTTGACTGTTGGCCAACTGTTGTATATTGGATTCGTATAGGAGTTTCAGTTTTAGCCTATTCTTTTTGAAATTTTTCTTGAGTTTCTATTCGTACTTGAAGCCACTAAAATCCCATTCTAGGTAGTTCAAAAATTCCATTATGATGTTGTTAATTGAGTATCAATTTGATGATGTAGCCTTTCTTTTTCTATTTATAGAATGGAAGAAGTTTATGCATACCTTAAACCTATAACAAAATAATAGATTTCTTGTCAGGTTGCGGTGACATTGCACTTGTTTTACTCTTTACGTTTGAAAATCCTTTCCTCATTATTTTACCTTTCTACTTGGATCCATTTTTTAAAGGGAGCAAGTTTTTAATTTTGATACACTGACATCTTTTCACACGGACAAACACATAAAGCACAAAGGGAATAATAAAGAAAAAAAAAGAGGTTCTCCCTACAACTCCTGCAAACACTTCTACATACATGGACAATATGGTTCTCCATTATTTTTTTTGTCCTTTCTTCATAGTTTCCAGAGCTCACTTGTTGGTTAAACTTAGTGTCAAAACTGCAAAATCACGCTCTCCATGGTCGAACTTTTCCAATTCTTCCTACCAAGGCTGTAAATTTCGGTTGCAGGACGTTCAGAGTTTATTTATGATATCATTAGCTGCTGCAAGTTTGTATAAGATGCACAAAATTTATGTTGTCTGTCTCTTATGAAGCCCTGCATTATTTGTAATGTGAAGATCTAGTGCTTCTCACACATTTAAATGGTTGAGATATTTTATCAACTTTTGAGGGCAGATAATCACTTCATAATTTATTGGGTAAAGGAGGGCATCACTTCCCAATAAAGTGCACAAGTCACAATTTTATCTAATACAAGAGTTATTAATTGCATAGTGGTATCAAAATGACTAATTCAAACTTCAAGCACATCACAAGACACCCATGCATGTGGTACAACGATTACACAATGAAGAATTATGAAAGAAAGTGTTAATAATCCCTTCAAGAGTAGTAAATGAAAGAATTTCTTGTATATTCTGTAGAACAGAAATCAAGTTGTGTGTCTAAACAATAAATACTCGAAACAATTCATAGCTCTGCATTCAATTTACAAGTTCCCAATTTCTCCAATCTCTTTATTTGTTGGGAGTAGATTCAGTAGAATCTTTCGACAATATGCGTGGTCTGATTTTTTTTTATTTTTTATTTTTAATCTTAGCTAATCAGGGAAAGAGATGAAAGCAAATACTGTGGTTGGGGATGTGATGGCACCACTAATGTTTCTAATGTCATCTTGTGAAATTTTTGAGCATTTGTTAAAGGTGAATGCAATAATTTTGATTTAGGATAAATACTTATGTTGACTCATATAACAGCTACCATAAACAGCTTAAGGAAAAAGAAAATTGGCTTCTTAAACAAATTAAAATGGACAGGGCTGCAGTTAATGGGTTAAAATTCTCTTTCAATTACCTTGTAATTTTTGCCTGAAATAGGCACTCTTGGTCTTTCTTTTCACGTTTCACATGAACTAAGACAATTTCTTGATCGTGCCCTAATATTGAGATCTTTTGTTGCATTAGATATGGGATACAGCTGGCCAGGAAAGATTTCAGAGTCTTGGGGTTGCTTTCTACCGTGGTGCTGATTGCTGTGTGCTTGTTTATGACGTAAATGTGATGAAATCTTTCGATAATCTAAACAACTGGAGGGAAGAATTCCTGATTCAGGTATCATTATATTCCTACTGTGTTTTCAGAGACCGCGTATTCTACTTGCACCTTTTTGATACATCTTATTCTGTTGCAGGTTTAGTTTATGTATTTTTTAGTGTTTCTTTAATGGTAGAGTATGCACCATTTTCGTCAATGATTTCCCCCTTTATATCCTAGCCTAAGCAAATGAATATCATTCTCTATATTAAGCTTAAAGGCTGGAGGATAATGGTTGACCAATAAAAGCCAAATCAGGACAATGAGCTTCCAATAAGTAGCTTTGATTATGCTTCATTGAGTTCTTATTTTCTGGTTTATTTTATTGTGACAGTGGAGAAATAATCAACTTATACTGTATACATGGTCAGTGGGCTATGGCATTTACCTTTTATATTAGCCCCTGTTTAAAACAATACATTTCATCAACTTTTATCAAAATCTACGAAGAATCTAATTTTTAGCAAAACCAAACAGGGGCTTAATCTCTTTTGATAATATAAATGCATCTCGTGCATTTATATTGTTGTAATGTATATGGAATTTTGCAATTTGGTTGGTGATTGACTAAATAAATGGTGTAAAGTTTGGCATGTGAATGGCCCTTTTATGGACTACTGTCTAATTGAAGAAATTGAAACGCACTAATAAATGTGAAATTTTCCCCGCAGGCTAGTCCATCAGATCCAGAGAATTTTCCATTTGTTGTTATTGGAAACAAGGTTGATGTGGATGGTGGAAATAGCAGAGTGGTAATCTTCTCTCACATTTCTCTCCTTTAGAGTGCTTTTATGTTTTTTCCTTTTTTATTTTTTTTGGTTGGGTGGATGGGCTGGGGTGGTGACATATTAGTACAAGTACCTACAAAGCAGAATTTGTAATCTTAAGGATTTAGGACGTGTAGAACTATATATGAATACATAGAATGTCTACCAATAAGGGAACGCACAGAATTAGATTGGGTTGGGGGATATGAAGAATTGTTGGGGGGGATTTTATATAATCAGATGACTTCTACCAAATCAAATGGCAAGTACTGCAGATTGGTTACTATAAGAGTTACACTGTGGTAGTGAGTGTTGAATTGTTAAAGGATACCTTCAGATGATTAAAATAGAAGAAATGAAGGTACCTTCAGATGTACTAGAATGGATAAAATAGAAAATAAAGATATCCTCCAACGCATGGATGTGGCACGAGAATGACTACTGAAATAGCTGGGGGCGTATCCTGTGAAGGCCTAGATAAGTTTTATGTCGCGAGAGAGATGAGATCTTAATCGAACAGGCTGAAGAGGGAGAGGTACACCCAATTTGACTGAGCTTGATCTGGTTGCAAAAAAAATAGATTTCATTTGAATGTTTTAGCATGCCCGTGTTTGATTAAGTGACAAACAAATGTAATTGATCACAAGTTTTTCAGGAACCAGTAACTTGTTGGGGGTGGGGGAACTCTTCAAAGTTTTTGCTTCTCTCATGATATTTTTATTTGTTGTAATAATTATAATAGCTATTCTTTTTAGGGATGGATGACATGAAAATGTTTATTTGCTTCATTGCAGGTATCTGAGAAAAAGGCTCGGGCATGGTGTGCCTCAAAAGGGAATATCCCATACTTTGAGACGTCTGCCAAGGAAGGCACCAATGTTGAAGAAGCTTTCCAGGTCATTGCAAAGAATGCCCTGAAGAGCGGTGAAGAAGAAGAAATGTGAGTACAAAAAGGCCATAAACCCATAATTGGATGCTAATTTTGAAAGTTAAATTCACACCAATGCACGCATGTAGTTTTCCAAAAGAGGCGAAACTGGTTTAGGCTGGAACAAATTTGGTCTTGTTTTCTTTGAACCTAGTCTAGCAACTTGAAGATTTTCTTTAGAGTAGTTTATGTCTACTAAGTATTAGACTAAGCAGAATTTTCTTTCCGAACCAAGGTAAACTTAGAATGCAGTTGAACCACTTCTGGAAGTCAAATTTAGTCACCAATTTGTTTTAGTTGCAGTCATTATCCCTACAATCATAGAAAACTGAAAACCATGTTTACTTTAAATCATATACATTAACAAGTTACTAAATAGTTTTTATATCTAGTGCCAGGTGTTTATTGGCGTCTATATGTTCGTTAACAAAGTTTGTGTTTGAGACATAAATTGGATCATACTTAAGAATTCCAAAGAGACCATAATATATGTTTTTCCTTCGAAAATTACAGCTCGTTAATATATGAAGTTAGTGGTTTGAGGTGGAAAAACTTCGAAAAGGTTTCTTGCTTCGTCGTGTCACAGGTGCATTTCATACTAGCATTAGATAGATGTAGCAGCAATGACGTGGTTGGCACATGGTTTTGGTGAGATATCATAGTCAAGGTATATGGTCGGCACGTGGTTGTCCTGCCAAGGAATATCTTAATTTTCTCTATCCTTTTGCTGTTTGTGGTTCCGCAGTTAACTTGAATATTTGAAGAATATCATCTTAGGAAAAGGTTTTGACATTGATAATGAAATTACATTGCATCAAGCTCCTGCTTTTATGTCCTAGTAGAATCCATATTCTTTTTAACTTGAATTTTGGTTTACCCCCCCTTGTGAATCTTACGTTGCTTAATCGGAAGTCCATAACTGGCAACATAAAATAGTATCTGTTCTGAATTCTTACACATAATAATCAACTTCATCTGCTTCTCAATTTCTTCAGTGGAAATTTCAATTATGTACGAGTGTCTTTAAGTGATGCTATTTACTGTTTAAATATAAATTCCTTTACATGTAAATATATATAATGAGAATTTCACCAACTTGTTGATTTACACTTTTGGGGAACTCCTGATGTTGTGAAGATACTTGCCCGACACAATTGACGTTGGAAGCAGCGGTCAGCAAAGACCAACCGGTTGCGAGTGTTAAAACAGAGTTGAGGATTCACTCTCATTCTTAATCTCCTGGAATGACAGAGAACAACATGGTTATCCTCGTGTCCTATTTTCTATTTATCCTGAGGTTACACCTGTATACAAAATGTTTTCAGTGGGAGTGAATGATATCCCCCGTAGTTGAACGTTGTTGTTTTGTGAATGACTGCTTTGATTTGATGGAGTTTTGAGATATTTGCTCCCTTGTTAAAAATTTGATGTATAAACTAGTGTTTGTAAGCATTCTTGCTCGCATTTCTTTTTTTTTTCTGCTCAATTGCTGGGTCCTTAGAATTTTGAACAATGGCATGCACTTTTTCATGTCAATTACTACATGCAAGGCTATAAAATGCGTAACGATGTGGTTCGATCGAGCATCAAGCATTAGAAGAATATGTACGTCATGTATGTAATTATGCTCTTTTCAATTTTAACTATTTTAAATTGATAAATAAATAAAATAATGTATTATTTAAACTTTATACACATTCTTCATTTTTTAAAAATAAATAAATAAATAATACTAAAAATCATAAATACTACAATTATTTGAATTTTATACATACTTTTTAACAAAAGCATAATACTCAACATCACAAATACTACAATTATTTGGTGATCAATTCTTAAAATTAAATTAGACACGAATATTTGCTTAAAAAATCTAAATATTTTTTAATTCTTTATCGGATTTCAATCCAAACTCTTCTTCATCAAGTCATCTTCTATGTAAACGATGTATTATTATTATTATTATTATTATTATTTTTTTTTTTTTTCATCAAACTCCTTTAGTTCAACTAGAGAATTTCTATTACATTTTGTAGATGGTAGGATATCATTATTAACATTTTTGTTATCATCACAACCATCAACAATCCAAAATTGTTCATTACTAGCATAACTTGTTAATAAAACTAGAGAAAAACCAAAAAAAGGAGGGTTGGGGTCGGAGTAGATAATTTACAATTATACGAAAAATTTGTTATGATTTTTGACTTTTTAAAACATCAAAACATGTAGATTGTTGTACATTTCATGGGCTTGGATGATTTGTGTTATTTTGATATTTGTTGGGCTCAATATGTCTTTTTTCTAAGAATGAATTGCGCTTTGCTAGGCTAATTTTAACACATGCGTGCACATTTTGACGCTTGAGCATGTATATCAAGGTCAGCGATATGAATGGAGCATTTTCATACGCATACCCCTTATGCGAGATGTTTCGAAAAAGTAACAAGCATATGTGAATACATGCAAAACATATACGTATATTTTAGAACACTAAATACAGATCAAGATGCCCCATGCACATCCATTGGCTGCTTTTAGAATTTAGTTCTTTGCCAGATGGGTTATATTGGTACACTAGTTTCAATATTTTAGAGTTGTAACTGAATTTAGGTCAAGTTTGACAACATTTTTGAAAATTCAAAAATTACTTTTTGAGATTAAAAAGTTATTTTTGAATATATTTCAATAATTTTTTTAAAAAGTAGCGCTTTCAAAGGAAATCATTCTAAAATAATTTTCTTAAGAAACTCTTCTAAAAGAAACAACAGAAATAGTAACCTCGACGAATGAGAGGTGAAATACTGAATATTTGATGCTTCATTTGACCTTTCCAGGCCGGCAGGCGAACTATTTCTTCAACTTCTTTCACACAGTAGAAATTTCTCTGAGTTTCTAATTAGTTTTCTAGTAATGATAGGTGTTGACCTGTTGTGATGCTGAAAGTAATCTTTTTATGTATATACTCTCTTGGACTGTTGCTGCCTCAGGAACGAGGGACACGCCTTTTTTGCAACCTTTTTGAGGTATATATTTACATGGAACAATTATATAATTAAGATGCAGTTTGGACCAGCAAACAAACCCCCATCACCCCCCCACCCCACGCCACCAAGAGACACTTCCAAGGCCAAGTACAAATACCTGCTTTACGAAATCCACATTTGATTAGAAACACATAAAATAAGAATCTGCAACAGATTAACATAACTTTGAACACATAGGCTAACCTCCCTACACCTTCTGCAGTCACTACAGAACAGTAAAAAAAATCAAGTTTAACCGTTGCTGTAAGTAAAAGAGTTGGCTCTATAATGCCTTCTCTTAGAAATCCTACTTACATCAATCAGCTGTAGAAGATTAGCATCTGATGGATCTTTTTTCCACTCACTCACAGGAATGCAATAAATGATAAAATTGGTCCGTGCGCAGAAAGTTCCCAGACTTTTGGACATCTGTTAGCAAATGGCTACAAGAAAGATCCGTACACCAAGCTGAAAAATTCGTAAACAAACTTCAAATTCATTAATAACAATAACAGAAATGGGAAAGCAACTGCCAGGTTGCAAGGTACGAAATCAATTCATCTTATTGCATGCGGTTAGAGGGAGAAAGGTATAAAACGATAATGATATTCAACACACACCATAAAAAAGGAAAGAATGAAATATCAAGCTTCAACTTTGGAGACGTGCTCTAGCAAATCTCCATCTATGTCATTGGTTTCATCATTCTGTCTCGTATATAAGTGGTCCTAAGAACCCCTTGGATATCACTATATTCAGCTGGCAAAATTTTCAAGTTCCCATAACAGCATTTCCAGTTTTTGGCAATTTCCATTTTAAAATTGAAAACTGGACACATTTATGGAAAATACTCACTTGGTAGAAGATACTTGCAAACATCGGGTGCTCAGAGAGAAAGATATCCCCAATTTTACTAGAGCAAAAACTACTTTGTACCAACAGAGGAAAGCTTATCTGGGTTAGTTTGCACGGAACTTCCTGCCATCATTGCAGGGGTAAAAGAGCCTGAAGTAGGATTTAATGTCATCATTGGCCTTGAAATTGGAGGCCTCAAGGATGTCATGCCCATAAAGGTTCTTGATACCGAGTTCGAAACAGTCATTCCAACTCTGTTGGTTGGTAAAGACTGTGAAATAGGACGAGCTGAGGAAGCAGATATGCCAAGTCGTGTTGCAATAATCTGCGCTCTCTCATGGAGCAGCTTCTGCTTTGACCTATCCAACTGTTCCTTAACCCTCACTGTCACATTTTCCATATCACTAAAGAAAGCAAACTTGGTCTCCAGTTTGTGTAACTGCAAACAAGAGTCTACATTAGTTAACGTGCATGGGGAACATACACACAACATAGAAGAGTAGCCATTTCAAACCATTCAGTTCCTTTGCAACTCTGCTAACAAGAGATAACAGTAAGCAATGCTTGTTAGCACGAGAATACCTGCTTTTCTATTAACAATGCAGCAAGCTCACGAATATGATCCTCTTCTTGGCCTGCGAGGAGCTTTGCCTTCAATGCTGCAGCTGATAGAGCAGTTGATGCAGCTTGCTTTAACTTATCAATAGGAAGATTAACTTTGGTCACTTTGTCCTCTTTATTTTCATTATCACACGCCTTTGCTTCTTTCATTGAGGACTCTCTCTTGTCATTACCATGTTCTTTTGCTTCTTTCACAGAGGGCTCTCCCTTGTCATTACCGCATTCTTTTGCTTCTTCCACACCTGGGTTACCATTACAGGAAAATATCCAATCACAAGTTGCTTGGTGTCACATTCCAACAAATGAACTTGGTGAAAATTTATTTGAAAGTAAAAATGCCAATTATTATACCCCCATTAACTGTATATATTACATCAGGCAAGGATTTCCTTCGTTATACCCGAAAACCCAGAGTGTAGTCTAGACAATGGATCATGATCTAACGTGCACTGAAAACATGTTCAATGCCCCATAATTTCTAATGCCAATTACTTTCAATTTACATGTTGAGACCCATTTACATCGATTATTCACATTGAAGAAATCATACACCTATCAATAAATATTCTAAGTTTTTGAAATGCACCTGTATTTTCTTGTTTTTCAGTCACTGAATTTGGTTCTACCAATTGCTCGGTTTCTTCCATTCCAGAGTTCGATAATTCATCTCCATCTTTCGGAGGATCTTTAGACTGAGAAGTCTCCCCTGTGGAAGTTTCATTCCCTGACTCTTTGGCAGCATTGGGAGGAAGCTCAATCATTGATGTTGAAATAGCAGATCCTTCTGCCTTTTTTTGTAACAGTTCATCTGGCAAATCTGGGTTACTTGATTCAATCATTGGGTCAGTTTCGGCTTCCTCTTGATTGATCATTCGTTCAGGGTGTTCCCCACTATCAGAAGATTTGTCTGCGTGTTCATTACTAGGAGAGACCACAAGCTTTTGTTCTTCTGTAGCAGAATTCTGGTTCTTGTTATCATTCTCATCATTTTGGGAGCTGATCTCACCAGCTACTGGATCATACTTTTCTACTTTCTGCTTTTCAACATGAAGATCCTCGTCCTTTTGTCCTTCCAGGCCAATGGTTTCAGCTGCCGCTCTGCATATAATGTGATCACATCAGTCATGATATTTTAGACTTCGGCAAGAAAAGTGTAAGAACCTGACAAACCCTTCTGAGTCAACTGAATTCTTATTGTTGTTTGGTGGATCTTCCAATCGGAAACAGTGCCTCGCAGCAAGCTGCTCACTGGTAGAATTTTCAGATAGTGATTTTAAAAAGCTACGAACTGATGCAGCAGCTATATTAGGTTCCACCAATCGCGCTAGGAATGCTGCCTAAAAGAGAGAAAATCAACATTTATATGCCAACAGAAAAGCAATCTAAGATTTTCCTATCAATTGCTAGAGGCAAAGTAATCAAACTCGGCCCAGTCATTGACCCAGTGAAGGCATTGTTTCAACTGGCTAACTGGTCCAACTGGTTCAGTTGTAAATGGTCTGTAAGAGGCAATGTCATAAGAATAATTACTTTAGGGGGTTGTAGATTAGATATCAAGCAAGCTTAAGAGCTCATCCTGTAGGAATTTATTAACATCCATTGTATTCCATTATTTCCTCGAGCACTTGGAATTGGTTTTCCATACAAAACCAAGACTAAGTAGTCATTGTGCTAGCACCATACAGACATACAAACATCAATGAACAAACTTACCACTGTCATCACTGGATTACCAGCTTCAGCAAACGATAGTCTTTCTGCAGGTGAAGGATGAAAACCCACAGCTTCAAATGCCTCTCTGAGTGCTTTCAGTGCACAGCTCTCCCCATCTTCAGGATTAACATCTGATTTATTGTCCTTCTCATCTGGATTTGAAATTTCCATGGGACATGAAGCCTGATTGTCATTCGTGTTGCCTAGATTTCCCGTTTTCTCACCGATGTCTTTATGAGCTGAAGTATCTTCGTTTTGGTCAATTTTTGAGGCTGAAGTATCAGTATTGCTGGAAAGTGGACATCCATTTTCTTCAGGAGTTGCATCAGTTTCATCACCATGATTGAAAAATGCATCCTCAATTGGCATTTGAACAAAGTGCAAAATACATTGAGCTTTTGTCTTTGTCGCTACATGTTCAGCAATCTCGCTCCAGTTATCTCTAAAAATTTCTATGGCTTCAAGGAGTAAAAGGGTTTCCTGATCTGTCCACTTTCCACCACTTGCACCACCAACTTCAGCAGGCTCCATGAGAATGAAATCAGATGGGGACATATCTGAGTCAAACTTCCCATTGTTGAAACAGTCGGCACATAAGTCAAAATCTGCCTGTGAACAGACTTGATTTAGCAGACAGAAATTTCTTGAAAAACATTAAAAAACAGGAAAGGAAAGGAAAGAATCAAACTACACAACCATACTTCCATAATTACAATCATAGATCATGTATAAAAAACTTAAGGTGTTACTTCTTATGAGAAACAAATGCATTGGTTTTTTGGAAAAAAAAAAAAACAAACAAACAACATTTGAACTTTGAAGTATCAACTATAGCATTTGTAACTTGTAGTACCAGTCTCTGAGAAGCAACTTTGTTTCAAGTACCATAAAGCAATGGCCAATTTTGATAAATGACTGGACACACTTTCAGGCAACTATTAGAGTCAGTTATAATACAGAAATAAGAAATGGAAGCAGATAAACAGCTGTACTGATGCATAATAAGAAAGTGGGACACATCCCTTGAATAGAGCAACCATCAAACATCTTTAATACAATTTTCTCTCATAAGATCGAGCAACATTCTAATTTTGTGAAGGCTTCAACTCCGTTTTTCGCTTTTCGTTGTGTTCACTAGTTTCTGAACTATAATGATATAATTAAATGATGCCAAAAAAAAGATAGCTGCATATCCAAATGACAGAACCTGATGGTTGCACCAGATGAAACTAGCCTATTTACGGTTTCAGACAGTTTCTCCAGAACGATTGAAAAGAAAGTGACATCTAGAAATAATGGACATCTCATATGTAATGAATAATTGCAGGATGTTCTCTGAAAAGCCCAAGCACATTCCTTGATGATGCATTCTTTAGCTGATTAAAGAATTTTCACACAAGGCAAAAGCACTGTATAATACAAGAAACCTGCTTCTGGCAGTGGTAGCGTCTGCGAGAGCAATCTGCTGAACAGGAGTTGCAGTGGTACTCAACTGAAGGCCCTTCAGACTTCCCCAATTCTTCGGCAGCAACTGATTCGGGAAACAGTCCAGATGACAAAGCTTGTGTACCCAGGTTAAATCTTGGAACGACTGGAGTCCGTGATTGCTCTGTTTCAAATCGAAAGAGTTTCTCAACTAAAGAACCTGCTTTTCCTGGTTCATCAGCTTCAGCACTGGCATTGGCATTGGCTTCAGAATCAGGATCCACTGTATCAGATCCATTGTGTGGGAACGGGTGGTAATTAATCAAACCCCAATAATCCAAGAATTCCATCACCTCTTGCCTAGCATCCAATTCTCCAACCGTGAGCTCGGCTAAATCTTTCAACTCTACCTGTGCATTGGGATTGGAATGAAAATTCTTTATGATCGAATTCCGTATCTCTGTGTATATTTCACGAGTCCTACTCTCTGATTTCCCATTAAAGAAAGAGGGAAGCATTCTCTCTTCTAGGGGATGAATTTTTGTCCATGAAAACCATCCTAATCCATAAAGCAATAAACAAACAGAAGTTGCAGTGTAAGATATATATTATTCCTGTTTGTATGAAAGAGTAACTAAATAATCTAGATTAACAAACAACTACAAAATTCATATCTACGGAGAATAACTTCAATGAATTAAAAAATATATAAGGGAATCTTGAATTTTTATTTTTATTTTTTAAATGAGTACAATCTGATAGCATTTTCATTTATCTTGACAATTCCAACTATTTAGAAGAAACCTGATACAATTTGTTCATACCCAAATAGATGAACACTTTAAAGATTACACCTTCAATCGAGAATATCGTTTGTCATGTCTGTTCTTAAATTGGGAGATATTTGGAAACTTTCATTTCTGAAGTTTCGACAAGAAATTTCACAATTTCAACTAGGAAAATTTGCAAGAGGAGAGGGATGTTATGCTTTAAATGAAAAGCCCTAAACGAAATTTCCTCTTCTCCTCTAAACAATCCGAAGGCTAGAAAATGAAGCTTTAAGACGAACATTACACTAACAACTATCTCAAAATCACTAAACTTTCACTGCTCAGAAAAAAAAAAATGAAAAAAAAAAGTGCTCTTACGCACTAAATTATGCAATAAAACCCACTAACCGGCATGAATGGGCACCACATGGACATTTGCATCTCTCGATCTAATGGCTTCATAATCAGCCTTAATCTTTGCCTCCAAAGCCTCCCAATTTCCGTTCACTTCAATCCGCTCCTCGATCATCACCGAAGCCTCTAGGCGAACGCGCTCCGTCGGCTCCACAGACACACCGTTGTTGTTCGGCTGCACCCGCGCCCTGGTGAATGGTCCATTGTGGTGGATCAGAGGAAACGGCACCGCAGTTGGCTTCTCTCGGGTTTGGCGCTTGGAGGAAATGGCATGACTACTTAAACCACTGCTAATATTAATGGAGGCCGATTTCCGCTTGTGGCCACCGCCTCTCCGCCTTGAGTTCGGCTGGTCCGAAGGTGGAGCCTCTGGAGGCTTCGACTGAGTTACGGCGGTGACCGGCGGAGGAGTTCCTGTGGAGTCTCTTCGATTTTCCTCCATCACACTGGTCGTTTGAGACGAATTCTTCAGCGGCTCAAGGGCGAGATGTCCGCGTTCGTATCTGGATCCCTCTAGTTTTGTTTATCTGTAACGCGACCACGCTAAGTTAGTGAGACCGAGTAGTTTTCATCTTCACCGTTGATAAATGTCTTGTATTTTGACGGTCTTGATGGGAGGTTAAAATAAAGTGACGTACCATAGCAAAATCGGGTTAAGGTAGAGAACGCTTTTCACCAGATTCTGAACATAATCGTTTTGAACTAGACGTAGTTCACTTATTTACCTGACTCTTGTTTACTTGTAAATAAATTTACTTAATAAGTAAATTTTTTAAGCTTAGATAAATTAAAAATCCAAACAGTACAAACTTTTAAGCTCGTATAATTTTTTTTGCTAAAGTACAACAATTTTATGCACATAATTGGCTATTTATATTACAAATCCAAACAGTACAAACTTTTATTTATTCACCATTATTCAACTTTTTTTTATGCTTTCTCCGAGCTCAAGATATTGAAAAACTCAATAGAACACATACTTAAACCCTCAGCAAATGCAGATAATGCATTTGATATAAGCTGAGACATTAGGCCTTGCCTCAAATGCTTTTGCTATGCTTTGTCACCTAAGCTCCCACGTGATTTAGCTGACCTACCGAAGTACCTTCCGCCGAAGCCATGTGACATCTGATATGGAGTGGGATTTACCACTTCACATTTGGATTTACCAAGAGTCCAGACAATCGAACCCACTGAAGCCCACCCATATCGAAGCAACTCATGAACCTGACCCCTTCTGAAGCCTCTATGCTAAAAACAAATCTGAAATCCAAATGAAGCTTCTTTGCCGAAGTGGCCATGTCCAACGAAGTAGAATTTGAGGCCCAACTAAGGCTGGTGGCGATTTACGTTTTAAGATTTTGAATTTATGAAATCCTTTTAGAATGATTGATTGGACTGTTATAATAAGTAAAAAGATCAAACTTGGTTATGGGGTGACTGCCTCATTTTTGGGACATTTAATGTGCTATAGGTTGGCTGAGTCAAAATTGATATCTAAGATGTGATGCTTGGGTAAAGGAGATGAAATCACGTGTCCTCCAATCCAATAATTACTATTTCACATGTAATACTATAAATATCTCCAATTTGTATCATTTGGGGGTAATGAAAAAGTATTGAATACAAGTCATATATTCTCTTTCTTTTTGATTAATCTTGGGTTTTTAGTGTTTGAGATGCGATCGTAATTGTGAGTTTGGTTTTTAGTTGGTCGTTCATTATCGTGTAATTTATTTCATAAATTTTGCCGGAGTCCGAACATTTTTGTCTAATGTTATAATGCTCCTCCCACGTTCAAACCACGTTTTATTGTTGATTGACAATAGTTCCACACATGTTGGAATTAGCTTGAGAGAACGCGAGTGGGCCATACAACTGTTGTCCACGTCTACGGCGCAAAAAATGAGGTCAACAACTTTAACAAAAGATTTCATTTTTCTGTTCAGCATCACTGGTGTAAGAAGATAAATTAGGCCTTGGCTCGAAGTCTTTTACATAAGATTTCTCTTCTTTCCGTTCATTGTCACCAATGTAAGCAAAGACATTAGGCATTAGCTCAAAGTCCTGTGATAGGTTGTGGCTCCTGATCTTGGCTAAAAATTTGTCGTAAAAGTTCTCTAATATTTTAGTTTATTTTCGAGATAGGTTGTGGTACTAAATCTTGGTTCAAAGTCTTTCACAAACGAACTCTCAGTTTTTAGCTTATTATCAAGATAGGTTGTGGCACTAGGTCTTGTTCAAAGTCTTTCGCAAATGATCTCTCGTTTTTTAGCTTATCATCACGATAGGCTGTGGCACTAGGTCTAGGTTCAAACTCTTGAATGAAGGGCTTGTCTCGATTATCTGTCTCAATTGAGGTGTGACAATTAACTCTTTTTACTAGAAACAGATTCAACAATACTTGTATTGAGAAGACCTTGAATTGCTTCCAGCATGGGCTAATCTTTCATAACCCATTGACAGTATTCTCGTGGAGCTATTCCTGCATCGATAGTCATTGCCAACATCAAAAAACAAAGAAAAAATCAAGAAATTGTACTTGGAATGAATCAAGAAATTAGTTTGAGGTTTTCAGGTTTAAAGACAACTACAAATCAAACCTCGTTCTTAATAAATTCAAGATCGACGTAAATCATTTTATATAACCCTATTCGATTCATTGCTAAATGTATTGAAAAAATATAGACTCGATTGAAGAATACTTGTACTTACTACTGCAAGACAGAAGAGACCCTCTAGAGCGACGATTGGTTTTACCTTTCCCTCTCTCTTTCCCTTTATCTCTTGCTGATACATGTATATTCCTAATTAATACCAAGTCTTTTTATGAATGATTTGGTAAGCAGAGTTCAGACACTTTTTATTTATATAGAGGAGAAAAATGTTATTTGCTACATTAACACCTTAAAATTGTTAAGAAATTGAGGTTCTATGTTAAAAGGTCAATTTTATTAAGAGGAGTAACTCAATCTTTTATAAATTGATTTATATTTACATCTTTATTTGATGTGAGATTCTATCCCTTGACATGTCATTGCAAGATGGTGGCTCGTTTGAGCACATCAATTTTGAAATCCGTGTGCTCAATTTTTTTGAGTTTTAATCGGATCGAATTACTCGTTTGAGCTTAATGAGCTCTGATACCATATTAAGAAATTTGGGTTCCATCTTAAAATGTCAACTTTATTAAGAGGAGAAATCCAATCTTTTATAAGTTGGTTTATGTTTACATTTTTATTTGATGTGGGATTCTATTCCTTAACAAAAATTATTAGTATTTTTATCTGTATAACTAATGATCTTGTGAAATATTAGTCGCGGAGGAGCCTATCTTTTTTAACTACAACACAATTGAGAGTTCCATTTCTTGGGGAGGAGGGGGGGAGCTGAAAAATTTCACCCCTTTCACGCATTTATCAATCTCTTTATACCAGCTTTTCGAGGGTGTATGCGGAATTAAATCAAAATTAGTCATGACAATGGATTTGACTGGCATAAATACAAGTAATAAAAATAAGTTAAGAATTTTGCAAAATAAACCTTTTTACTGTATGTAATAATTGGAGTTGTTCTCTTGCGCTTTCGGACATTTATCAATCCCTTTCTAGGTTTTCTAACTCGTCCTTTCCATTCAAATTTCAAAATCCAAAAAATCAATAATTTTTCTTCTTCTTATTGTTGTACACGTGTGTAATTTCTTCGTATGAATACTGATTCTTGAGCAAAAGAATATACGAAAGAATGACTCTTCAGAAGGGGTCGACTGTGTGGGTGGAAGATAAGGACTTGGCTTGGGTAGCAGCCACGGTAACCGATTTTATCGGTAAACATGTTCAACTCCTCCCAGTCTCCAGTAAAAAGGTGTTGGCGGTGCCGGATAAATTGCATTTGCGGGATACGGAGGCGGACCATGGAGGAGTGGATGACATGACCAAACTAACTTACATGAATGAGCCGGGTGTTCTTGATAATCTGCAAAGAAGATATGCTCTCAATGAAATTTATGTGAGCTACTAGGGAATTATGTTCATTATTTAAATTTGGAAGTGTTCTTGAATTGATTACATTAATTAGCTACTGCATCTATATGTTTTGAAACTAAGCTAAGCTTGTCAGAAATGAGAAAGCAATGTACAATCAATCATTAAATTTTCACATTCTGTTAAAAAAAAAAACTAATGATCTTGCAAAATCAAATTTATTAATATTCTGGGATAGTAGATATGTTTGTTTCTGATAAGCTACAGTTATATGGTACCTAATGAAATTTAAGACAAGGTTAATGAAGATTTGCTAGTGCTCCTAATGTTTCACGTGGAATCTGAGAAATACTGATAAGGTGGTTGGTGAAAGGTGAGTGTGTCAAATTTTCGATAAAAGAAACAATTTAATATTTTGTTGGTTATATCATTGCGAGTTAATACCCTAAATAGTTATCGAACTTTCTCAAAAATTTTCAGAAGGTCACCGAATTTCAAAACTTCCCTAATTAGTTTCTAAACTTCGCAAAAGTTCCTAGGAGGTCGATGAACTTCGAAACTATCATAAATAGTCACTGAACTTTGCTAAAACTTTTTAGGAGGTCACTAAACTTTGCAAATTGTGACCCCATACATCAATGATTTAGTGACCCCCTAGGAATTTTTTGCAAAGTTGAGTGACTAATTAGGGTAGTTTTGGAAAAGTTCAGTGACTATTTAGAGTAGTTTTGAAGTTCAGTGACCTCTTACGAACTTTTTGCGAAATTCAGTGACTAATTAGGAAAGTTTTGAAATTCAGTGACCTCCTAAAAACTTTTAACAAAGTTTAGTGATTATTTAGGCGAGTTGCTGATATCATTAAGATACTCTTCGGATCCGCTGAAGGAATGGATAGATACTCGATAAGGTAAGTTATGTCAGCAGGGCACTTCAAGATCTTTAAAATTGTTTGACATGATATATTAAAATGTCCAATTATTGAACATAATTGATAATTCCTTCCTGGATATCCACACTGAGTGGGTTCATTTCATCCACTACTTGGAAAAAAATTAGAACAATGGATCATAGGCTTGCATTTTATAGTCTTTTATCTTCTTCTGGTTCTTCTGGTAATATCTGAATTATTTCTTGTTTCGTCTCCAATTGAATGACATGAAATTTACTTAAAAAACTTCTAATTGGCTGCGGTGCTTATGGAATTTGTGCCCAGAAAATGGCTGGAGAAACTCTGATCAGAATGCCTATAGACCATGATCGTTTCAGTAATCAGGTGCGTAAAAGGCCGAATTCAATTTTTCACGAGATTTGATCAACCTTTGTCTGCTTGAGCCATCTCGT